TCAGCTGTTGTCCAGGAGGCCGTGAGCAGAGTCTCCGCTTTCATGTTCAACTAGCCACTGCTGCCCGCGCTTCGCTGCGGGTGATGTGCTTAGTATAGGAGAATTTTTAAGAAATATGGCTCATATGTCTAATATGTTTTCTCATCATGTTGGTATGGAAGGTTGGTCTCAATATTGTAAACGAACATAGAGGTTGGTTGTCATTACATGGTGCCTATTTTAGGCCAGCAAATCAATAACATGTTAGTAGAAAGAAGTATTTGATGGAGTTGGGCTCAAGCAACTAACACACTTAGATTTAAAGCACAACATTGGGTAGGATTACATTATAGGTGGAAATAGCAAAAACTACAACACAAGTACTTCTCCTAACGCGAGGGTTTACAAAAAAAGTGAATTAGGATCCACTCCTCTTAGGCGAAACTACAACACGCATCCAACAACTACGGACGACAACAACGGCAAGAGTACAATACAGGAGGACAACGACGAAAAGCACTACTACTACGGGTACAGCATCCCAAGGCAACTAATCTACCTTGAAACCACGCATCTTTATTCCTGTGCTCGGCGGATTCTTCTACCGTCCTGGCTGTGGATCTGCATCTTCTCGTGGCAATGGCTGAGTGAGAGGAACCAAGGGTTCTGCTTCTAACACTTCCGAAGGTGGAGGTGCTGGCAGTTCTACATCACCGGTTCTCCTTCTTTCAGGCGGGTGGATAGGGATCCCCTCCAAGATCGGGGCATCCCGCCTTTCATCAACCAACGTCCTCCGCTTGGCCCTAGTGAATAGATAGGCCTCACCCAGCTGATGAACATGCCGATCTTCGGCCTCCTTCAGAGCTTCTGACATGGCAGTCTCCTGGTTCTCAACAGCTGCAGCACTGGCATGCGCTTCGGCGAGCTGCACCTGGAGCATCCGAGTGAAGATCTTGGCTTCTTCGGCGCGCCGGAGGCACGCCCTCAGCTCCAAGGCTTGCCGGTCATACTGCTCATCCAGAGCAAGCAGGTGCGTGGTCAAGTGGACCACGGTAGGACTATCTTCTTGCGCATCCTGCCCTTGCAAAGCCTCCATGCGAGCCCTCCATGCCCGCCGATTCTTATCTAAGGGTGAAAAGAACCTCATGGGGGTACGGGCAATGGGTTCTTCATAGAGCTGGCAAAGGTACCACAAGGCTTTGCGGGCCACAACCTGGTAGGTGTCGGTGAAGCTAAACCCGGTTGTGGTCACACTCCAGGCTTCGATGATGTCGGGGAACTCTTCACTCTTCCCAATGTAGACAGTAACCTCACACCGATCGGTGCCATGCTTCTCATACTCACGTCCCTCATACTCGGGACGATCTTTGACTCCGAGCTTTTGTAGGGTGGCATGCAGGATTCTACGAAAACCCTCAATGTTCAGACAGTAACTACTAACCCAGGCTCCTGCCATTTCTGGCGGTGGATACAAAGAAGGGCTGAGCAAAAAGCTTGCTCAAAGAGAAAACCTAAGCGAGCTAAAGTGTGCCGAGTGGTGGTACCAATGGCTAAGCCAGGCTCTGCTTATAAAGGTGGAGCGGTCTGTGGTCCTGGCGCGGTTCACTTAGAACTGATGAAGATCACTACTTTTCGTCTTTGTCCTACAAGCATGTGTACAACTTTTGTTTTCCCTTCTCATTTTAGCTTTAGTCAGTGCTTCCGTGGAGGCTTCCAGTTGTTCAGTGTCCATAGCTAACAGACCTAGAGATTGTTGAATTCTATATACATTCAATTTTCATGGGCGCATGCATCTTATGTCTTATCATAGTCGTATCCATCCTGGCTACTAAACATCTCTGCTTATTAAACATGTCAATAGTATTTTGGTTTTTTACTTAGCAAATTGTATTCTTGGTATGGGTAAAGGACATTGAAGTGTTAGTATTTTCATGGGGATGGGTGCTAGTTGGCCTGAAGCCACTACTGGTTTAAAGGCGTGCATGCATGCACTGCTGTTGCCGTTGGCCCACTTTTGACGTATTCCCGTAGAGAAAGGACAGGCCATAAAATTTTACCTTCTCACAAGGAGATAAGAACGGATACAGCTGGGGCACCGGCCATGCATGCAAAGCAAGCAAGGCCCCAGCAGCATGCACGTACGTGCACTTGCATGCGTGCCGACCACCATGCTAATTAGGCACCGGCCATGCATGCACACCGTCCGTCTATTAGATGCATGTGTAAGTACAAATGTTCCTGCATGGTCGGCGGATTGTTTTTATCTGATGGTAAGGAGGAGAGGCATTAAATGTGTCCACCTGCCTGACTTGTTTCTATGTGATGGTAGCATGGAGGGAAGGCATTAAATGCGTCTACCTGCTTTTGACCCACCATGCGTAGGTGAAGATGTCCAGTGCTTTCAAATTTACTGAGTGAATTTCTGGATACCTTAGGGAATGGACTCGGACACTGCTCATCTCGTGTGTGTAAAAATCTTGCCGCTTTCCTTTTATTGGTCTCCGCGCCAAACTCAATGGTGGACTGCGCCAAGACCAATGACCGCTCTACCATTACAAAAGACCTATCCTAGCCACTTGGTACCACCACTCGGTGAGTCTCACCATGGGATCGGACGGGACAACAGATCAGAGCAAATCCCATACCGTTCGGTGTGGACAGTTCGCAGCAGTCATCGTCGAGTTGGTAGCCTACGATGCGATCCCGATCCCAGCGCAAACTCCAGCGACCACGAGACCATAAATTTTAAAAATCGATTAAAATTTATTTAAAATAACTCAATATAACAACCAGCTACTGTATTAGTGCATCAAAGCCAACATGTCAACCCCGTGTTAGTTAGAAATCTAAGCTAGTCAGCTAGACATTAGTTAGAAATGCATGCTAGACATTATAAACTACTCTCTCAAGTCCAAAGATATCTAATGAACATTGGATTTTTTAACTTGCTCTGCAATGAAATTCGAACACTACTGAATCATACATGGGGATGATATCCAAATCCAAATAGACCTTATCCAAGCATAGCCAAAACAACAAATAGTATCCAATTAGATTTTGGATGATCCAAATCCGCTGCCAGCTCTACAAGCAAATATCCAAGCTTTCTTTCTAACAGAGCATCAGGCTCACCTTTTTTTTCTTTTGTTTTTTCCTTCCTTTCTTTCTTTTTCTTTCTTTCTTTTTTTTACTATCTACACGATACAATGTGTGATACGTTCGCAAAGAACAAAATTCAGGAACAGATAGGCTAAACCTTTCAAAAAAAAATGTTACACTATTATTCTCCTTTTAACGATGCTGATACATGGTTCCACCAGAAACTATGCCTCTACAAGTCCTTTGCTGCGTGCTTTCTTCTTCCCACCTTTTGCTGCTTTTGAACTTGCTTGGGCATCCTCTTCCGTCTCGGTTTCTATCCTTGCAAACACTGGCTTTGGCTCCGACATTACCTGGCCTGCTTTAAGGCCTCCCCATTTCGTATCCTCCTAATGAAATAGCTGAAAATGATTACATGCTCTGGAAAATATTGAGGCAGATTCATAAAAGATTGAAGACTGCATTTTCCTGATGATGCCTGATTGTACTGCTGAGGATGAACATGTATAAATAAGAATGGAATCGTACATCACATCTGTGATATAAGAACATACCCATCTCAATACCCTAAACTAGTCTTCTGTGAAACCAAGCTGTGTGTAAATCCTCAGAGGAAGGCTTGGAGTGATAGGAGATAGTGCGATTGCAATTATCCTCATTGTCTCTAAAATAAGTACAAGATCCACGTAGATAAGTTGAGACAGATTAAGCCATGTAGTCATATCACAAAAGTACAGCACGCTGGAGTGCAATTCCTCTAGAATGTGTATCATAGCTTGCCAAACAACATCTGAAATAACAATCATTTATAGTTCCATCCAAACATTTCACAGCAGTGGAACAAGTTTTGTAGAGAGCTAATAAGGAGCTTCATGCATCATATACATCGAGATAACATTAGATAAATCATTGACCTATATTGTCGGCACATATAAGATTCATTGCTTTGATGTTCGATATCACGAGAGAGTATACCAAGTAATGGTGAAATCATAGCTAGGATGCTTTGTCGTCGAGCGATCAGATGTATAACAACAATAGTATTTTGAGGCTCCAAGGAGGCCACTTTCATAAGCTACTAAACCTGACTAGATGTTTTGACTTTTCAAATTGAATTTTCAGCAGTTAAGATTTGGCAAATTCAGTTGAAACATAGGTGAAAAGGTGAGAGTAAAAATAGTTTTTACATGTTTACCTTTGCAGCCTTTTCAAAGACTCTCACCCCTTGCTTGAAACAGGACCATGTGCTTGCTCATCGACGTACAAGGTTACCAATCTCTAGAACAGTTTCACATCTTGATGATGAAGAAAAGATTTTCATCTTGGTGTTTTGCATTGTCCACCTATAAAAACAATTTCACGGTGATTGACGAGAGACACAACAGGGCATGTGAATGTGTGGTACTTCTTAGGGCACCATTATCGTTTCATGAGTTCAAACTACAGATGGACCCACCACATCATCGGCAGCAACACTTGTTGACTGAGTAAAAAACAAATCCACTGTTGTAGACCTTATATTTTCTAAGTCTTTAAATCTTTATACAGTTGGTTATATACATACTAGACTACCGGTTCAATCACAAACTCTTGGTTTATAATTAAATCCTTTATCCTCCACTCCTCAGTTTAAAAGGTACCATGAAAACCTACTTACCAGGTTTTCTATGTTATCTCTGAACAAACTTCTATCTGCAGCAGCAATTGAATCAAAAGCTAGTTTGGATTTACAATTCTTTTTTAGTAGCCCAAGTGTACGATTAAGGAGGTTTCCGGTTCAAGTGAGTAAGTGAGATCATTATTAACACGTAAAGATGCATAGGTAACACAAACAAGGAGCACCATGTGAAGAAAGAAGGCAAATGACATAACAATTTCAGCACACATGAAAAGTATATACATGTTTCAGAAGCAAAGGTAATCTAAGTAGAAATGCCAATTGTATTAGCAAGATGAGCATTGACTATATTGATAAAGCGTTCTTCTAAATAGTCCCCATCATTGCCGAATTCTACTTCCCGCAAGAAGAAGTACCTAACAGCATCAGCGCCAAATCTTTCTACCAGATCTTTTGGTTCAAGCATGTTGCCTAATGACTTACCCATCTTCATGCCATCCTAGAATTTTCAAAATAGAAGCCATCGGTGCACGAAATAAAAGTGACTTGCCGAGATAAAACATGAAAGGTGACTGGGAATCTAGATACTTTTTTTTGGACTTATGGTAGAGTGCTATACTGTCATCAGGGCTCTATAAGTGGAAACAAGTACAATTGTAAATAAGTAAGATCACCTTTGTCAAGAATCCATGACAGAAAACTGTATCAGGAACACTTAAACCTGCTGACATTAACATGGCTGGCCAATAAACTGCATGAAACCGTAATATGTCCTGAGACACACGCACAAAAAGTCATGTAGATATGTGCCTCTGCATCTCTGTTCATACAGAAAGGTGGGCATGGTTATTTGGTTAGCAACAAACATTGTTGTACAGGCAAATCATTGAGCACGCGGTGTAAAGCATCCATGAGCGAGGCATTCGTTAGAAGATGGGATCAAAGAGAGATAAGCACCATGGTGTCCACTGTTGGTGGACCATGTTTCTCTAAAGTGATCAAATCCTTGAAATCCAAAAGATATTCTCCAGTCCACTCTCTTCCCCTGAAAACATGTTGCTTCTGGCATCAGAACCATAGCAAAATTATGTAAATTGATGCCACCCTTCATATAGATTTGTAATCAGGCACAAACAATACAAGTATCTTGGGTTCTATTAGAGGACAATAATGTAGCATACCTGCCAAAAGCTAGTACAGCTTCAAAAGGTGTAATAACTAGAGCTAAAAAATCCTTGCTATCCAGCAGAGCGGTTTGGGCACAAGAAACATAAATAAAGACTTCGCACTGCTCCAAGGAAAAACAATGTCAGATGGTATAGATAGGTGAACAGAGGAAAACAGTTCAGAGTTAAATTAAAGTACCACACCTCTGGAAAATTCACAAGTTTTGCAGAATTAGGCCTGCCCATGACCAATGTATAAGATTTCTTTCCTGCGGCCTTGATGAGTTCTTTCATTTGTTCGATTATATGAAGACAACCAGCTGCATCATCAAGGAGTGCAATGCACCGCATCACAAAATTTAAATGTTTCTAGCAAAATTCCAGGCCAGATAACATGAGAACTAAAATAATAATATTCAAGTAAAGTGGTCGTATTTGGGATTATGGGAATGCACAAAATCAATAGACCAGTAAAGAAACTAGGAATGTCTGGTCTAGGCAAACCATGAAACTAGTTAGGGAGTTCATCTCCCGCTTGATCTGCTTATAGCCGAACTAAACCAGCCTTGTGATGAACCGATCAGGCATGGATCAGATCTTGCATGGTATAGTGCCTTTCTAAGAGGCATGCATGGCTGAAATATAAAGGTAAACCTCTAGCTGAGGTCACAATCTAACAGTCCCTCAACATTGGCATAACTACTTTTTATGTTCAAGTTAACAATGTGCATACCAACACCCAGAGTTCCCACCAAAATGCCAATAATGTTTGCATCCTTTGCCTTCTCCACAAGGTAATACCTACAATTAAAAATTATATTTTGTAAGCAGTACCAAATAATGTAAGAAAAAAGTACATGAATGCTGCAAAAACAAAGTACCTTCGCCTAAGAATTTTCATCAGATGAGAGATGTCAGCTGTGAGTTGATTTTCTATTGCGTCATATCTAACTACAAAAGAAACATTAACATTCAAATGCATCACATTCAGAAGATCCCTGCATTAGAGCAATTACCTTAACCAAATGGAAGATTATTTAAATTTACTGAGATGATCAATTACAGAATGGAAAACGTAAGCATGTGCAGTTGCAAATAATGTAAAGAAGAGGACTATAAGATCTGCATCATGCATCGCTAAGCAGAAGTTACAAGATCACTGCCGATCAAGAATCAAATTTTAGATTTCAAACAAGCTGTACCAGGACACGCCATCGCGGGCGACGAGGACGCCCTGGAGGAAATGCGACGCCTTGCCCTTCTCCCACGCCTTGACGCGGCGGTTGGCGGAGCCGGAGTAGACGACGCCGGCGCCGGCGGCCACGGCGTTGACGGCGTCGTCGTGGGCGCGGATGTACTCGAGGCACTTGAGGTCAGCGATGCGCCAGTCCTTGAGCGTGCGGTCCCAGGAACCCGAGTAGAGCAGCGCGGTGTTGTGCACCGTGGCGGCAACGGCGAGGCAGGAGATGCTGTCGGCGTGCTTGATCCAGAGGCAACGGTGGCTGCGCCGCGCCATCGTCTGCACGTAGTTGGCCTGGCGGAACACTCGGCCCAAGTAGTCCCTGGCGGTGGGCAGCGCGGCGACGAGCTTGAAGGCGTTCTCGGAGCGGGAGCGGCGGGAGACGCGCCAGACGCGGACGCGGCCGTCCTGGTGCGCGGAGAAGACCCGCCCGCCCGCGGCTGCCAGCGCCTTGACAGAGCCGCCGTTCTTGCCGTGGCTCCTGCCATCTGCGGGTGGGAGGCCTCCGAGTCGATGGCCTTGTCCATGAGGTGCGCGCATGTGACGCTGTTGAAGCCGCCCGTGAAGAGCGAGTTGGAGATGTACTGCTCCTCCACGCGCGCCAAGATGGCCGGGTCCATGGGCTGGTTGTCGGGCGTCGCCGGGATGTGCACGTGGTAGCTCGCGTACTGATGCTGCTGCTCCTCCTTGCGGTCGGGCGACATGTCGCCGCCGATGCCGAGGTCGCTGTCGAGGTCATCGCGGGAGTAGCTCAGGTAGCGGCCCGAGTGCGTGCGGCGGGCGAAGGTGACCATGGGACGGTCGCCGGGGACGGCCGCCTGCACGCGGGTGTCGTCGCCCCCGCTGCCGGAGTAGGACATCCGCGATAGGCGGCTGCTGTTGCTGTGGCGGAGCCCCCCGCCGCCGCCGCCGTTGGAGGCCATGGCGGCCGGTCCGGGCACGGTGCTGGATCGAGCTACGGATCTGTCAGTGGTGGTGGCTGATCTGCGGACGAGGGAAGGAACCGGAAGCGTCAGGGACGGATGCAATGGAGGAGCATCAATCAATCAACTCAACCAAATAGTATTAGTCAGTCAGTCAGTCAAAAACGGCAGAAGATGGCAACTTTATTTTTCTTCCTTGCTAATTGTGAAAGGATGGAAAGCAAATCGGACAGGGACCGAGAAATCAGGCCAGAATCCCCAGACCAAGATTCAAAGCAAGAGGCAGCTGCGCGGGTCGCACACAAATTCAGATGGCGGAGAAGCAGGGAGGGAGGAAGCCATAGCAGGAGGAGCCTCGGCGGTCGCCGTGTCGTGCTGGGGGACGCCGCTGCACCGCACACAGGGTGCGGGGAGCCTCGGCGGTCGCGACGAGGAGTGAGGGAGAGAGCGAGAGCGCGGAGAGGAGAGAGAGGAGGGGAGGAGCGGAGCTGTTGCCGCCTGCCATTCACTCGAGAGAGAGAAAGAGAAAGGAGCACCATTTTATGTGTGACGACCACGGTGGAGCTCAGCTCTACAAAGCAAACAAGGCCCAGCAGTATGCATGCACGCATGCGTGCCGCCCACAAGTTAGGCACCGACCATACATGTTGAGAATCCACCGTTCTTTTCTACACACCACCGTCCATTTACATGTCACCTACGATCAGAGGAAGCCGTACTTTATTTAATGCGTGTAGTTGCTTTATCTATCTACTGCGAAATACACGGATGAAGGCTGGTTGTGACGTGCCTCATCTAAGTATGGAATTTCTATCTAACGCACCAAATAAAAAGAACGTACGTAGACACCCTGGGAGGCCGCCGATTTGGCGCGCCATATATACGAAATTAAGTGAGAAAATCAACCGCCAGAGCAGACAATTTAGCAAACTTAAGTCCATATAACCCGGTAGTCCGTGAAATCACGAAGGATTTCAAACCAACTCACATACCAGCCAAGATCGTAATAAGTTTAGCGGTCACCATCATATATTACATAAAAGTTCGCATCACAGGTACATCGGAGTTTAAACATAGCTATTACAAACCGAGTTCAAATAGAAGTAGCGGAAGCCATTTGTTCAAAACCACACACACTCACACGAAGTTCAAGTACAGTGCCAGCTGATGATCATCTCCAACAAAAGCATTAGACAAGACGTAAGGAATGACCATGCCCATGGTCCTAAGCATCACCCATCGCAGAATAAAGACAGTTGATACAGTAGCCATAATACATCTGTCCATCTGCAACAGGTGGGAACAAAACCCTGAGTACGAGAAGGTACTCAGCTAGACTTACCCGACATAACCGAAAATAAAGTGACACCAAGGATTATGAAGGGCTTTATAGTAGGGTAGCTGACTCATTTTGCAAAAAAAAACATTTTTAGCATTTCAAGAACCTTTTCAAAAACATTATTGTCAAGTTAATTATTATTAACCTGTCAACTACATTTGCACCTATACTAGAGCAAGCATGTGATTAAGCAAATAATAATAACCAATGATCATTAACAACTTCCATAATGTCATATCCATTATAACTGTCCAAGTGTTCCATCAACATTACTACGATGAAGTAACTCAAGTCAAGTGTTCACTATCCAATGAACGATGGCGATTCGAATTGATTATTAACCAGCTGGTAATTTATTCCTTACACAAATCTCACTCACCCGCTAAAGTGAGGTATCGGTCACCGACTCAACTATCCAGGAAAAATCTCGAGTTTGCCAGGAACCACATGTACCCGGGGGCCGACCGACTGCCTTTCGGTCTTATCATCGCGCCCCCGTGTCCTACCACACCTGCTCCGGTACAATGCGCTGCGGGCAATCCACTCGGCCCGAATAATCTCCCAGCTTCACGGTCGAAAGGTACGTTATTCGGCCAGCTAAATGTAAGGCATGCGTTTAACATGACCCGAGGCCCAACAACGGACGGTCCTTAATCGACACAGACGGAAAGCACTACAGTCTAAAACCCTGTAAGTCTCCGTCCGATCTCAACTTCAAATTAACACTTAGTTATACCATGACTACATAGTTATCCGAGCAGATCCAGGTAACCACCTATAGCTCACAGGTGACAGGAAATCACCCGACTTCTACCGGTATAAGCCAGCTAAGCATTGACTCGACTGCGGATACCAGGGTAACAAGGATATAGTATAACAAAGGTAAACAAGGTATAATGCAGCAACGGTTGTAAACAACTCCTGAACGTAATGCATCAATTAAAGTAAAGCATTAATTAATAATCGCAAACCGGGGAGAAAAATGCTCCGGGGCTTGCCTCTCTCGAAGGAGCTCGGGCGGTGATCGGGGCACTCCGGAAGTTCCTCAACGTCCTCCTCGTCTACTCTGGTCACTTCTTGCGGCTGCACCTCGAGCTGCTCCTCAGGCTCCTCGGGTACGACGACCGGGCTCTCGGTTTGCGGTCCTGTATGATGCGGTGCGTAAGTGCTTATGCAAAAGGTGCATCGGATGAAATGAACACAGTGAATATGCTTGCATGCAAAGTAGATGAGCATGATTCGCTTTAATGGGGAGAGTATAATGCAAATCTCATACAAGGTAGTCAACATCATACAAAAACATGTACTACAAGCACATGTCATCTACTGCATTCTCTTCTACTACTAATATGCTAAGTCAACACATCTCATTAAATGCTTCAAAGATACACCAAAGCTTCACTAATTTCTTAATCATGCATAAAGCAACATTTGATTAAACCCTAATTAATAATAGGTTTGAATAGCAACATCTATTTTTATAGCATATAAAAATCTTAGAAAATTACCATAGCACAGTACTACCCCAAGTAGTCTACCATCAAATTTTTATGGCATTTGGATAAGTGGAATAGCCTACACAAAAATGACAAGCTTGGACCTAAATATGAGCATGAAAATACTTTGTATTATGAAAAGTGTCAAACAACAGATTTAGTATTTTTCCTAGGTTTTAAATAGTAAATGATCACTGTACAAAAATTATCACATGCATGTTTTATACAAATTTTGCTCTCTAGCAAAAATAACAAAAATCAGTCATTAAAGGCACTTGAACTACACCTTATAATTTTTCTACAGGACATGCCTGGCATATATTTTTCCTAGAAAGTACATTACACAAGAAGAGTAACAAACTTGAAATCATATTTTTCTGATCTTTCTATGATTTATTATGCCTTTCTCAAAAAAACAACAATTTCAATGATTAAATAAAACTCCACAGAAAAGTGTCACCAAACTGACGTGCAATATTTTTAAACCCTAGATCTAGTCATGAGGATCACAACAAAATTTATTTCATAATTTTTTAGATCTACACAGCTCCACTTATCTATTTTCAAAGATGCACATAAAACAGAAAATAAACGAGCTAGTTTCTTTACTCATCGTCACGACAAAGGGACCCGTAAACAAAGGACCCCACTTGTCAACGAACGGAACAGAGCAGAGCGCCGCTGCACAATCCATCTTGCGCGAGCCGAGCTCGCCGACGGCGAAGTTCGCCGTGGTGACATCTACACGGGACGACCCTTACGACCTAACGATCGATTGCACTACTTGGGCCCTCTCGCGTCGGCGCTAGCGGCAGCCAGCGGCGACATTCATGGTGGCTCGGAGGAGCAGGACGGCTGCGGCACGCGGAGGAGGCCACGGCGGCTCAACCTAAAGCTCGGACGAGCATCAATGAACTACGGTGGACCTATTGCGCGCGCTCTAACGTGGCACGCGGTGGTCGGAGTCGGCCGGACCACGGTGATGGAGTGTGGCGGCGGAGCAACGACGAGCTCTTGTGCGGTGTGGTGGCTTACCGAGCGTGGTCAGTGAGCACGGGAGGATGCGGTGAATCACAGGAGTGATGGTGGAGGGGTTGCGATGGTGGAGAAGCGAGGCGAGGCAAGCTGGCGACCGGCAATCGACGGCGGCGAGCTGCGCTCTTCGCCGCGGCGCGCGACAAAGCGAAGGAGGAGGCAAAATTGGAAATGAGGCGTGGGGAGGAGCGGGCGGCGGGCTGGGTGTTATAAGGCGGCGCCTTGGCCCGTCTCGCTCGCTTGTGAAGGGGACACCGGCGACGCGATGCCATCGCTGGCCTCCACGCGACGCTGGGCTCGCTTCATCGGCCACCGAAGTTGTTCGTTTCAACCGATTGAAACCGAATTGGATGCCCGACAAATGGGTTTTGCAATCAATTAACTAAAAATCCATGGCTCACAGCAAACATCCTAAACCGAATTGGTAGACCTATGTACCAGCTCCAATTCGTATTCAATGAACTCGTGCTAATTCGCAACCAAAACCAAGTTATATCATCTCAAAGTTGGGCTGTCAGCACTGTCAGTGTACCAGACTTAACCAGATTTGCTAAGTGTTGAACTCAGTGATTTATTCATTTTTGTGAGCCCCAAAAAGACTAAGCTATGCACTTCATTATCTCCTGACCCAAAAATAAAAGTTGTTCTCCATATCAAATACTACAACTTTGCTTTAGTGACCACCTACATGCAAAGTCTCTAGCATATGATTCAAACTTGGTCAAACATGCTTCCTTAAAAAGATGACCCATACATGAACTATGACTCAGTGACTCATTTAGCCCTCGCCATAAATACCAAAGTTGTTCATAATGATACTCTAAACATGTTTAAGCTATTTGCAAGGTTGAAAGCATCTAGGCCCCTAAGTGGATTTCAGTGATTAATGTCAATACAAGATTACTATGACTAACGTGTGTTTTGCAGAGGCAATTAAGTTAGGTCATGGTAATGGAGATCGATTGGGAAATTGAGGTTGTCATGCCCCTACGATGGAAATCATTTCGGTTTTCAAAGGATGGACGACAAGGTTAAGGATAACTAGTTCTAAGTGTCAATTAAAGTTGGAGAGACACTTAGAGTAGTTTAGGACTTTGTTTTTCCTTTGGCCGTTCTATGAAGGGGGTCAG